ATTTTAAAAGTTTAAAGAATAATGGAGGGTAAAATCAATATTGCGAGCGGATTGTAATGACACACTATAGGGAAATATTTTTGTCAATTGTCAGAAAATTTAAAATACATCAATGAATTTTTTTAAACAGGAGAGTAAGTTTTAGTCTATTTCGTAAAACTTAGGGGGCGTTCTTTTTTCGGATTTTGAGAGAAGGGAAAATTGGTCAATGAGATTTTGGTTCCCATTGACTAAGAATTTCATGGTTTTTTTTTTTTTTCAGATTTATGTGGGAACCAGGGAAAGTTTATTTTCTTGGGCATCAATTACCTGGATAAGTGATGCCCATTTCCTAGGTGGATAAATAACTTTCCCATCCAGGGGGAAAGTTGTCAACACTTGAATGAGACAAAAATACCCTTTTTAATAATGAATTTTTATGGCTAAAATGGTCATTACCTTATTTACATGACAAATAAAAAAAATATGGATAAATGTACTTACCTGATTACCTGGATAAGTGTTTTTTAGAAAAACTTACCCAAATAACTACATTTACCCCGATAAATAACTTATCGAAAAGTAAACGAGAACTTAGGGGTAGTTAAGTGTTTTACCCATAATTAATACTCTACAGAGACCTGTATAGAACACCTTCAAGCCCAACACTCTGCCTTACCTGTAAAAACAAAGTTATGAGAAGTCCTTGTGTGAATCATAACACACTTGGCCATTAACATCAACCTTCTCTTTAGTTGGCTTTGGTAACTCATTCTTGCTTCCTCATGGAATTAAGGAAGTGTAGTAACCTAATCATGAGCATTAAGGACTTTTATTAAGTCTTTGTCCTGGCTCTGTTCTAACCCTTGTTATTCCAATCCTTTTACACTTCCATTTCTTGTCAACTTTGGAATGGAATTTGGATGGTTCTAGAGAAAGGTTCAGACTTGGAAAAGTAGATTAAGTTGAACTCCATGAATTGATCAACCACAGCCACTTTCCATATAGCAAAGTTCTGCATTTCTCACTTTCGTAACAACTCTTACTCGGGCACTCCATCTATGAAGTTGAAGGAAATCCAATTTTCTTCTCACAGAGTTCACCTCTCAGCACATTGCAGTCATGCATTGGGAACATTTTTTCATGAAAGACAACATACAAATAGGAGAGAGATTTCTAAATGGTTGAAAAAGCTGTGAGGTAGATGTGAAACGTGTTTGTGAAGACATCAGATCTGCTCCTCACACAGGGCGCCTCACACACATCCTACCACGCATTGAGAACATCTCCCATATTTATAAGTTATTATTCATGGGAGATGTTCCCAATGCACGGTGGATGTGCCTGTGAGGCGCCCATGTGTGAGGAGCAGATCCCGCGCATTCTGCTTGTGAAGAGCAAACCCTGACTTAAAAACATTTTTTTCTTGAAATGACAAGTGGAAAACGGTGGTTGGGAAATTACAACAATCATATCCATATTTCTATGATTTTATTCATGGGGAGATATTCTTAACGCATGGCTAGGACTGTGAAGACTGTGTGAGTCTGAATTTTGTGCAATTGACTTGTACTTACCAACTCAGATTCAGTTCTGATATCCACTTGCAACCTTTTATTGATATTCCAATGCACAGCTGCAATTGGCTATGAATACAGTGTGAGCATGCACCATTTAGTTGTGTGAGGACTGAATTATATCACTGCACTCACAGCAATGATCGATGGTATTAGCCATTCCAACAGACGTTATACCGTCCTCATATGAAACTGAGTCTGGATCTGCTCCTCACATTGTGCGCTCCACACCGATCTCACAGTATGTCCTGGTCGTACATTGAGAACATCTCCCATCCTTCAGTTTATTATTCATGGGAGATAATCCCAATTAATACAGGGTGGGATGTGTCTGTGAGGTGGATGTGAGGTTAATTTAGTTATTACATCCAACAACCACAGAACAAAACTCCTCTCTTAAACCTTTCTTATTTTTCCCATAATTATTGATGTTCTTTCTCCCTTTTCCCTAACTTCATTTTCCTTCTCATAAATTAAATTTTCATCTCTCTCTCCCATCTAACAATTCTACACGCATTTAACCTGATGAGGGCAGATTTGGCCCTCTAATGATATTGTAACACATGGCACATCGGAACAACTAGGTGACACCCGGAACAACTTAGGCAACAACTTACTTGCCTTAGCCAAGTTGGTGGTGTCCCACCTAGCAGCCTGGCACAGGCGCCGACCTGGCGACATGCGAGACGTGCTCGCCGATAAATTCCTCATGCATATCCTAACACTCCCACGATCCTTGGAAGTTGGCCCACATGCCGAACGATTTGGAGGGTGGTCAACATGCACAACGATTTCCTTAGGGAATCTCGAATCACTTAGACGACTTCTCGGAAATCTCGGATGCGGTGCATGAAGCCCACGCCAAACAATGCCTATATAAAGGCACCAACCCCAATGGCATAAGGGGGGCAATTAAGCATATTCTAGTTCTCATACTTTGTAATTTTTAGCTCGCAGTCTACTATGAGAGTACTGACTTAAGCATCGAAGCGACCTTGCCTGGTTAGCCACCCCAAGTCCTCTAACATTGATTCCTTGCATGTCTCTAAAGAACTACAAAGCTCAACAATCAATCCAGCTCGCCACTAGGCAGCTCGACCCTCTGGTCAGCTCGGCAACTAATAGGTAGCTCGGCCCTCTGGTCAGCTCAGCACCTAATAGGCAGCTCGGCACTCTGGTCAGCTCGTCACCTAACCTGCCTAGCTCGGCCCAGTCAGCTCGTAACCTAACCTGCCTAGCTCAGCCCAGTCAGCTCGACACCTAACCTGCCCATCTCGGCCCAATTAACTCAGCACCTAATCTACTCCCAGCTCGGCCCAATTAACTCGGCACCTAATCTGCTCCTAGCTCGGTCTGGTCAGCTCGGCATCCAGGTCCTCATCCAGCAAAAGTTCACTTCGGCCTCTGAATCATCGGCCACTTGGAAGCAGACCAAATGACAAGGTACTTAGCACAAAAAAATTGATACATCACCAAAAATTGATTCGTCAATTGGCGCCGTCTATGAGAAACGCTACAAAAAACTAAGTTCTCATCCTCTGAAAGGCTAAGTCCTCTTCTTCCAGAAAGATTATTTCTCACCTTTTAAAAACTAAAAGCTCTCACTTTCTAGTTTCCATCTTTATGAACTCAAAGACTATGCAGGAAGTTGATGGCCAACAAACTAAGCAACTCTGCCGACTTTATTTCAACTCGGATAAAGCCTCATCAATCCTCTTCGCGAGGTACCCTCTACAAAGATGAGCTCTTCGTGGCTTCAGCGGGAGTAGGCGACCAACAGACTGCATGGACGCCCCTGCCGGTCGATCCTTCCAAGGCTCCCATGCGAGCTGGTGACCTAAAGTCAGTAGTGCTACCCCCGTAGGTTGAGCTCCTAGTAGCTTCTTGTATGAGTGGGTAACCAACATCACTAACGAGGCTGATGCAGCATAGCTGTAGCTCTAAGGTGCCAAGCTGATAAAAGACCACGGCACCACATAAGACCCAGTCGCCTCTTCGGCATGGGCAAAATCAAAGATCAAAGAGAGTGGACTACGAGTCGCTCCCAGAGCCTAAGGGCTAAAGTGTCGAACTGGCAAAGACTTCGGCACCACATAAGACCTAGTCGCCTCTTCGACATGGGCAAAATCAAAGGTAAAGAAAGTGGACTGCGAGTCGCTCCCAGAGCCTAAGGAATTGAATCGATGCTTACGAGCTCATCGAATTATTCATTTCAGGCCAAAAGGAGCAATCTACTCCCTTCGTCGAGTTACTTTCAGCTCGGGAGTGGGGGGCAAATGATGAGGGTGGATTTGGCCCTCCAATGATATTGTGACACATGGCACCTCGGAACAAATAGGTGACACCCAGAACCACTTAGGCAACAACTTGCCTTAGCCAAGTTGGTAGTGTCCCACCTGGCGACCTGCGAGACGTGCTCGCCGACAAATTCGGCATGCATATCCTAACACTCCCACAATCCTTGGAAGTTGGCCCACGTGTCGAACGATCCGGAAGGTGGTCAATGTGCATGGCGATTGCCTCAGGGAATCTCGGACTACTTAGACGACTTCTCAGAAATCTCGGATGCGGTGCGTGAAGCCCACGCCAAACAATGCCTATATAAAGGCACCAACCCCAATGGCATAGGGGGGGCAATTAAGCATATTCTAGTTCTCATACTTTGTGATTTTTAGCTCACAGTCTACTATGAGAGTACTGACTTAAGCATCGGAGTGACCTCGACAGGTTAGGCACCCCGGGTCCTCTGACATTGATTCCTTCTAAGTCTCTAAAGAACTACGAAGCTCAACAATCAATCCAGGTCACCACCAGGCAGTTCGACCCTCTGGTCAGCTCGACAACTAATAGGCAGCTCGACCCTCTGGTCAGCTCGGCACCTAAAAGGTAGCTTGGAACTCTGATCAGCTCGTCACCTAACCTGCCTAGCTCGGCCTAGTCAGTTTGGCACCTAACATGCCTAGCTCGGCCCAGTCAGTTTGGCACCTAACCTGCCTAGCTCGGCCCAGTTAACTCAACACTTAATCTGCCCCCAGCTCAGCATCCAGGTCCTCATCCAGCAAAAGTTCACTTTGGCCTCTCAGTCATCGACCACTTGGAAACAGACCAAATGACGAAGTAATTAGCACAAAATTTTGATAAATCACCAAAAGTTGATTCGTCAATTCAAACTTTAAATTGATCGTAAAAAATTGTTAACCAAAAATTGATTCGTCGATTCAAACTTTAAATTGATTCGTAAAAAATTGTTAACAATTCCACACGCATTTAGCCCAAATCCAAAGTTTAACATGCATAGGTGGTTTTTCTTGGTAAATGTCACATCTCAGCGACCGACGGTTTCCTAACCTTCAATCCTTCATTGGCTCTCTCTCTCTCCATCTGAATTTATTACTTATTAGTTTCCAAGTAGACCAATTAATCAAGGGTGAGCCCTCTCTCAAGAGTCAAGCCTCCTCGTTATATAAACACTGCACATCCATCTCTTTATAATATACTACTACATTGAATTACTCATACACCATCCATTTGTTCTCTTTTTCTATTGCAGAGCAAAGAGAAAGATCATTATTACATCCCCTCCCACCTCTACAACGAGCTTCTGCAACTCGATCAAACAAAGCAGACATCATGAAAACCATTATCAATATCCAACTCCTCCAGGCTTCCATTGCAACCCTCTTAACCTTAACCTTCCTCCTTCACACCCTCATATCAGGCACTCCATTAACCCATCTCTTCCTCTTAGACAACCTTGCTATCTCGTTATCATTCGCGTGGTGCCTTCTTGTTTCCATCATCTACTACTTCTGCACTCGTCCACGCCCTGTTCTGTTGCTGGACTACACCTGCTTTAAACCAGACTTCGACCGTATGCTCAGCTTGGAGAGCTGCGAGTATTTCGTACGTCGGACTCGACGCATCAACATGATAAGCGAAGAATTCATGCGAGGTATATATCGCAAATCCGGCGTGGGTGAGCAGACCTATGGACCCAACTTCTTATTTCAATCATACGCCGATGCCAATTTACAGTCCGCCGTTGACGAAGCTGAGGAAGGGATGTTCGCCGCCGTCGGTTCACTCCTCGACAAAACTCGGATTGACCCAGAACAGATCGACATTGTCATCGTCGCCTGCGGCTCCTTCGCGCTGGCTCCTTCCCTCTCGTCGATGATAGTGAACCATTTCAAGCTAAGACCAGATGTTAAGACTTTCAACCTGAGCGGAATGGGTTGTAGCTCAGGTGTCATGTCTGTTGACATGGCCGCTAAGCTCCTGAACTGCAGCAGGCGTATCAGGTACGCGCTCATCGTAGTAACAGAGAACATCAGCTTGAATTGGTATTTTGGCAATGACCGCTCGATGCTCGTCACCAACTGCATCTTCCGCGTCGGTTGCGCCGCGGCGATGATAACCAATGACCCGAGTCGCCGGGGAGAAGCTAAACTGGAACTCATTAGCTCTCTGAGGACTCACCATGGTGCCGACGACAGTGCCTACGCAGCCGCGTTTCAACAAGAAGACGAAGCGGGTAACCCCGGAGTGTCACTCAAGAAGGATTTGATCCGGGTTGCTGGTCTTGGCTTGCGTGAGCACATCCGGTCACTTGCACCGAAAGTTCTGCCGGTGAGTGAACTCATCTCGTATGCCTACTCGGTTGTACTGTCTGCAGTATCAGGTGGCGAGTCCAAGCCAACGGTGCCGGACTTCACGACGGCGTTCGACCACTTTTGCATTCACACCGGAGGGAAGGCCGTGATTCAGCAGGTGGCACGAGTGCTTCGGCTTGGCGACGATGTGACTGAACCGGCTCGAATGTGCTTGCACCGATTCGGAAACACGTCCAGTAGTCTGGTGTTTTACGAGTTGGCTTATTTTGAAGCGAAGCAGAGGGTGAAGAAAGGCGAGAAGATGTGGATGCTGGCGTATGGGACGGGGTTCAAGGTGTGTAGTGTGGTGTGGAAGTCATTAAAGGATTCGCGTAAAGATGACGGAAATCCATGGAACGATTGCATCCACAGATATCCATTAAAGAACTGGTAAAGCAAGATAGTATATTAAGACGGTGGAAAAAGAAGATATTAATTAATAAAAGTAGAAATAAATAAGGAAAGCCCATAAAAGAAACTGGTAGAAGAAGAAGAAGAAGAAGAAAGAGCTTTCTGAAATCTGAAATAATAAACACAAGATGAATATTGTTTCAAATCTGTATTTATTCTGTCATTCATTTCTTCCAAGGAGAATTGTAAAGGCTTAAAGGGATGAAAGAAGATGAATGTTACTTAATTATGTGAATTGTGATTTAATCTCTCTCTCTCTCTCTCTCTCTCTCATGCAGCAACTTATTCAGTCTCAAACACTACGGTGCAATTCCAGTATCCGGTTCCAAGATGTATTTTAGAAAATGGGCCCAGGTTCTCAAAAATAGAAAAAAAAAGAATTTTGCAGAGATGATGGTAATTTTTGTGTTTTCTGATAGCGTTTTGCACCTTATGCTCAGTTTGAAAAGAATAAAAATACAAACGTGTATAATATAAATACATACAAAATAATAGAAAATATAATATGTATAGTATAAATACATACAAGATACAAATTTGTATTTTACTCTTTCCAAACTGAGCCTTAATTATTAATGAAGATATCTCCCTTCTCTTAATTAAGTGGTTGATTTATTTTGCAATAAAAAAAGTGGTTGATTTGTCTATTGTTTTATAAGGATTCCGCTCACAAAATATGATTTGAAAAGGTGATTTGCTGAATTGGCTGATTTGGCAAGATAAATAAAGTGGAATTCCTATTTCATTAAGTAAATCCACCAGATTGTGGCGGTGTTGGTTTGCAGTACAGATTTCATTTGCACTGGTCTAAATGATGCATGGGAGTGCAAATACTGATTTACTTTATTTCAAATTTGATTCTGTCTTGTTTTTCTGAAAAGTAAAATAGGATGTAAAATGGTGTGGTCCCACCTTCTATTGCAAGAGACTAAAGGTAGTGCAAATCATAGGTAGAACTTAACAGAGATGCAAAATTGATATTTGGTTTCAGATTTGTACTGCAACCAAACGCCGTGGCAGGAACAAAATTTGGTTTAGGGCAGTCCTGACTCCTGGGAACCAGTCTGGATCTCCTAAACTTAAAGTTAACTTGTACACTAACCAACGATAACTCATCAAAATATAATGGGTGGTTTTGATTGGTCAGGTCATCACCACCAACTCTTACTTCTGACACTATGATCGACCAATCAAAATCACCCTGTTAAATTTTGATGAATTCTCGTTGGTCAGGACTTGGGAACACAGAAGGCCATTAAAGCTATATCTACCATCCAGTACTGGAGCAGTTGCCTATCAATAAGTCATTCTCCTCGAGTGGTGTATATGACTTAAATGGTTGAGAGCAGCCTGAACTGTGACCAAGAAGAGATGAGCCTTTGTCTTGGCTTCTCAATTAATTCAACTAGATTGAACAAATATAATACACCTTCAGATTCCATGCACCACGCCCTCTGTTCTCTTCTCTTTCAGAACTCAAAACCCAAAACTAAAAAGGGTAGTGTAATTATCGTTTTTCTTTCCAAAAATGAAGAAAAAGAAAGGCTTATCTTCTTTTGTCCACCTTCCATTCTACCCAGTTGAAGCTTCACTTTTTGTTTTCATCATAAACTCTGTCAGTTCTCTCTGTCGTCTGTGTCTCTGTGAATCAAGCTGGATATCTGACATACATAATGACTGATCAACACTCAAGTTGTAAGTTGCCGTGAATCATTTATAAGCATTGAATGAGTTTGATCGTTAGTGAGGGGACACAGTTACTGTGTTCCAGTTGTATGATTAATTAAAACCAGAATCTTAGCATCTAGTATTTGGGTGATGGCACTGATAAATTCAGATGAGTTTGACCGCACACAGAAAATTCGACGAAGCTTCATAAAAGCAGATTGAGATATGGCCAACTTCCTCCTTTCATACTCTTTCAGGGTGCTGATGATTTCTGTACAACAGAGTGAAGCGAAGCATTATGAATCCCTGTTATTCTGATAAAACATTCTAATTCAATATATACAAAATCATTGCTAATTAAGTTCCTCTATTGATCTCAAACAAGATAGAATCTTATAAATACTATTGTTCTCCTTAAGACATCAACCCAACTCGTCTCTCCAATAGCCACCTGCCTGAAAAGAGAAAGTAAATTGAAATCCATCTCTACAATAACTCTTATCCTTTTGATGATGCATAATCTAGCCGGTCTTAGCTGTCGATGATCTTACCTCTGAACTGAGTAACAGGGACCTGAAACGGAAGGAGAAG